AATCCATTTATATTCTAATTTATCATACTCTCTTTGATTCATTATGGCGACATTTCAACTCACTAATACACGAACAACTTGAAAACCATGTGAGTTCCGATGAAGCGACCCTCCTCGTCGGCCACTCTCTTCCGTTTGATGGTCGCCCTCTAGTGGCCGACCCTGCCGACGACCGGGCGGCTCAGCATAGACGTCTGCTCCGGGGATGAGGTCAAGAGAGACGGGATCGTCGTTGGCCTTCTTGTGAAGGTACTTCACCGTCACTAAACCCTAATCTACACAAGGCTGTTCGTAGGTTGCTTCCGCCAACACCGTACTCCTCTGCAAGCCCGTGAAAGGAACTCTTGTTTTCATAGCCTGATTCAGAATAGGATTCGTAACCAACGAGAGACTCCTCGTAACTCTCTTCTGCCGCCAACTTCTCTCCATGCAACTTATTCCACGCTCTCTAATGGCGAATTCATCTTCGATTGTTATATCTGAATTTGAAGGACGAAGCTTGTTTGATTGGTGGCTAAGTCGTTTTGTGGATCGAAGGCAGAGAGTTCTTTTTAGCTCACCGGCCCACACAGAAAACCATGCTGCTGTGTTTGATGTCGACTTCAATTTCCTGCATTTGATATCTACATGCAGCTCACAAGGAGTACCTTTGATTCTACTCAACATGCGCGCATGCTTTTCCACTTCACATCACTGTTCTCAAAAGAGACCATCACGAGAAGTGAATGGGAAACGTACTATACCGATCCAATAAACTTCTGCAGTCACATCTTCCCTTCAAATTGATGTTACATGCATGTGGAGAACTTGTAGTTTAAGATTTAATGCACCTGCATGGGAACAGCTTTGTATGAACTGATTGACATGCATTTTTTCCTTTTATCATCAGCCAGTATGGCGGGGTTCATGCAATCCTGCAAGAGATTGCAGCAACGAAGCATATGGTGCAGGACAACCATTTTTGGGAAAAGAGTAAGTAAATGGTGATGTATTAATGTCAGAGTGAGCAATTTCAAGACAATTAATATACAGGCTTTCCCTTTTTTGCCTGCTTCACTGGCTTTGCTATGTTTATGAATGGAGGAAGGATATCAAATCTACTATTGGGGGTGCCAAGTGATGAAACTCATATATGGAATGTGGACTTTGAACTCCAAGAGAAGGATTGATTCGTGATAACCCTTTCTCCAACAAGTATCTATAAGTCATCTGTAACACTTATTGTTCGCCTTGGTAGGTTACCCATTCCACTGATAACTCGGTGTCACTTGAGTTGTACAACTCAACTCCATTCATAGAGAGAGGAAACTGCATCTGATACTGCACTTCGGTGCTGCAACGCCATGCTCGAGTTTTTGTAAGATGATATCATGCGCATAATTGATGTATCATGCTGTTAGAAAAATATATCATACATAATATTAAAAAATTGCAAATTATATATATTACAAAATAAAATGTTTTTGTCACTGAATACAATCAAATATGTCAAAAATAATAGTTAATAATTAATACTATTAATTTATTATTATTAAAAATTAATTATTTAGAACGTTATGGATGATTTTGGACAAAAAAACTGATTGGATTTTTGTAGAAAATTTAAAGATTTGAATGGATTTATAATATGTTATTAAAAAAAGTGGAAAGTCAGAAAAATATAAACATTTGTTGCCCATTATAGATGGAGACACAATGATGATACCATCTTTCAACAATATTAAGACAAAGCATGAAATCACAAAATATCCTTACATAAAATGATTTATGAGAACCTACAATTAAGGATGTTTAATGATGAATTATTCTTAAATATTTTTTTTAAAAAAAATAGGAAGAAAATTCTATTAGCGTTTAAGACGATCAAATATGGACTTAAACTTGAGACCTATCGATTGTGTAAAAAGTGTATTAAGATGTCTCGATAAAGATAATTATCTTTAAATAATTACAATAACGATAATTACATAGTCTTGATGTATGCGACATGAACCCACACCCGTACGACATATATTATGGCCTTGTTGATGATCATTAATTGCTTGACCCACACACGGACCCATTCCACCCATAATAGTTAGCAACTTGATTTACTAATCTTTGTTTGCGCGCCTTGTTCTTTTGTACCACCCCGACAGTATGTGCGGCAATATGACATACAAAACCATTATGATCAATGTCTATTATATTTCTGAACTAATAATGAAATCGTAGCACATCACATATTTTTTGAGTTTGAGGTTTGGTCTCCTATCATTGACTTCCACTAAATGGTAGCTCAACATGGACAACCTTTGTGTAAGAATGAGAAGTGTCACTACCTTCTAAACAACCATGTAATATGTTGTATATTACAAAATCAAGCAGCTCATTGATGGTCAAAGATCCAAAGGGCAATTAATGATGATGATTGTGATGCTAAAAAAAGAGAATACCCATAAAAGAATTTGCAAATGCAGATCAAGCATGTTGGTTGGTTGGTTTTTATGCGGTCAATCTGATGGTCATGAAGAACATAAAGTATATCAAGAATACATAAAAAGATAGATAAATCGATGGAATTATTCTTTTGAGTTAATCTTTAATTCTCTTTCATGTACATGTATCATTCTCCTCTTTGTTTTGGTTAGACAGGTTGGTTGGTGTCGACCAAAAATCTTTTAGTTAGGGTTTTGAAATTGTATGTAATGTATCCAAGTCATTTGTTGTTGTTTACTTCCCCCCTAACAAGTAGTATTAAATTCAATGGTTCAGCATATGCTGCAAGTAAGGAACTAAACTAAGATATTAAGAATCATTATCATTAATCATAAAGAGCCAGTGGAAGATTTTTTCTTTTTTTTATTTTTTATTTTTCTGCCAGCCAATTCATTGAAGTTTAGATCTTTATGCTTGTAATCATCAAAGATCGCGATTCACATATAATAAAGAAGTATTTTATGGCTCTATTTTTGTTATATTTTTAAACATAATTTTTATTTATATGTAATATATAAATATAATTTTTTAAAAAATATATTATATTCAATCATATAGTATAACTGTTGATGATAAGTCTGAGTTAAACTAGTCAAATTAACATATTCGGTAGGTAAACATAGGTTTATACCTTTTCTTTTTCTTTTCTTTTTTTTCGTAATTAATCTTTATGATTCACTCAATTTTTTTCGTGAATCTTGAATTCGACACTATACAATGTGATGGATCTGAGTACAATTGATCACGATTAACATACATTAGATTCGATACTAAGCAATAACCATTCAAACCACTGGTCCAATCGATAAACCAATAATTCAAGGCTTACATTGATGTTTAGTTTGGGTCTTATAGCTATCATTATTAGTAAAGTCGTAGACAATTAGGAAAGGAAAAAAAAATTGACAACTTATGAGAAAAAGGAAAACACACGAATTATGGGAATTAGAGGAAGGAATTGTATGAAATCATGAAAGATGGGGGAGCCTTCACACCCTCTTTGATGGAAGCCAATGGAGGGAGACGTCTTTTGTAGTGACATAATTTGAAGTTGCACATGATGCAAGTTGGGATGCTTTTACCCAAATATGCTCTTTTTTATGTTATGTTTGATCATTTAGTCAAAAAGAAAATTATGTGAAATGCATATGGTATGTGAATAGGGTATTTAGTTATCGAATTTGTATACGAACGACATTACTTGCACAGGCTTTTTCTTATATTTTCTACCTTTTTTCTTGTACCATGTTGGAGTGTTTCCTTCTACTTCTTCGATTTACGTGTTGATATTTCTTTTTTTATTATTTTTCTATAGTTTCTTATAATGATGATTACTACTGTTTCGGACAGACTTAAGGACTGTAATCATAAGACATGCATGCTATAAATTATTTCTTATGTGTTGATGATATATAAATTATTTGCCTCTGGACACATGTAATAGAAAAGCCATATTATATATGTATGTATGGAGTGTCCAAAAATTCCTCCCTCCAAGAGGTACCAACAACACTTGTCTCTTTACATTTTGTACTCACAGCATGTGTTCATGGCATCATGACTTCGATTTCAGCTTACTTTTTTTGTTAGCTCATGCACATATAATTGTTTAGGTTATCACCCGACCATCATGTTCGTATCATGTACACCCCCAAAAGAGGATTTGATGCAGAAAAGTAAGGTGGCCTTTCTTTGGGGACTTAGTTTTACCATTTGCCTTTTTCCAGCAATTGTTTATAACCTCACTGTGGCACTCTCATATCTAATCATTTGTTTTCTAGAATTTAGCTTTCAGTAATCACATTCCTTGTCTGACCACTGTTGCTTTCCTTTCTTTTCTGCCTATGCTTGTGTTGAATTGGTACATCATGATGTTTAGTGAACTCATCACAATTTTGCTTTTCATTTTGCCAATTCCTTGTACTAATACCATAATTCAGAAATTATTTATGCATATCCATATGTATATTTAGTGTCAAAACACACAAGTTGTGAGGGATCACCATAATAAATTTGAATATTGGTGTCAAATCTTCTTATGAGAAGAATATGAGGATCACAAGTAGGCAGTTCTTCATGGATATGCTAATATTGTAAGTACAGTAATACTTTGGGAGATTGGCCCATGGTTTGGTGGAGTAACCATGGAAGACAGGGAGAAGTAAAGCCGAGTTGCTGCTGTTCATCAAACATGTGAACAGTGTTGAGCTCAAGCCTCAAGCCTCAAGGCTGGGCATGAATCAGAAGATTGAATTGGGGACGAAGCTTGCCACCTTTCCCAGCTGCAAGTGCCAAAAGTCCAGCGATGTATATAAATCCAGAGGGTATCCTCCCCAAATCTTGCTGCTGGAGATTTAGCTGCAGCTTACGAGCAGCGTGTACGTCTGCTTTAGTGCATCTGATGCATGCAGTACCCGAGCAAGGCTGCTCACTTTACCTGCTACCACTAGTAAACACAGTTCAGCACACCCCTATGTTTGCAGAGGCATCCCTTTTGCGAGACTAGTCAAAGCTTCCTCACAACTACAGTCGAAAATGACTGGCACATGGCCTTAAATTCCAAGCTCTCACCTTTTCATCTCGTCCTCCTCCGCCTCTCTCACCTTCTTCTGCATCCTTCGCCTTTTCCTAACCTTCTATCCAGGTCGTTGAGTCTGTTCTCCCGAGTTTTCTTGCATTGTTTGTGTTGTTGGAGTTGACATGGTTTGGTGACTGGAATACATCCCCCCTTTGCGCAGAGAAGATAAATGGAGGTCTCGATATGACCCGGACACCCAAAACCCCGTCGCCGTACGCAGGAACGTAGTGAATACTGGGTGGCTGCATCGGGTCGCCGGTTCAACGCATGGGCGGCACTGATTGCACCTCCTGCTTACGGGGCGGCCTTCTCCTCCAGCGGACTTGATTGATACGCCTTGGCGGTTTGCGTTGGTGATATTATATATAGAGAGGTAGGAGTGGAAGAGTGGAAGAGAGGGAGGCTTGGATGGAGGCGGGGGCGCAGGAGTCCGTCGGCGGTGCAGGGGCGGGCGAGGACGTCACCGTCAGGGCGGCACGGAAGCGGTTCGAGCGGCTCTTGGCGGTAAGATGCAAGGCGATGAAGGGGAAGGGTGCGTGGTACTGGGCCCACCTGGAGCCTGTCATGGTGGCGGACGCGGGGTCGGGGAACCCCGCGGTGGCGAAGCTCCGGTGTTCACTCTGCGCTGCGCTCTTCTCCGCGTCCAACCCCTCCCGCACCGCCTCCGAGCACCTCAAGCGCGGCGCCTGCCCCAACTTCTCTTCCCCCTCTTCCGCCACCCCCACCCCCTCCCTTGCCGCGGCCTCCGCCGCTGTCGACCCCGTTCCCATCTCCTCGCTCCCCCCGCCCTCCCCCCGCCTCCGCCCTCATTATCCCCCCTCGCGGAGGCGCTCCATCCCTGCACCGACGCCACCCAGGCCGCCCCTCGTTCTTTCCGGCGGCAAGGAGGACCTCGTCGCGCTGGCGAGGCTGGAGGACAGCGTGAAGAAGCTGAAGAGCCCCTTGGCCTCCCCGGCCGCCGCCCTCCCTAAACCCCAGGCTGACGCCGCCCTCACCCTGCTCGCCGACTGGCTCCTCGAATACGGCGGCGCCGTCTCCCCCTCCGCGCTCGACCACCCAAAGTTCCAATCTTTTCTCAACCAGGTCGGCCTTTCTTCTATTTCACCTTGCCAACTGGTCTTATCCCACCTCGAAGCTCGATATCTCGAGGTCCTGTCGGACTCCGAGGACAGAATCCGCGACGCTGCCTTCTTCCAGCTCGCTTCCGATGGCTGGAAGTCGTCAGCCACGTCTTCGGAGCATACGCTGGTGAGCTTCGTGGCGAACCTCCCCAACGGGTCGACATTGTTCCATCGGTCGTTGCTGACCACCGGAGGAGCCCCTTCCGACTATGCCGAGGAGGTCCTGTGGGATGTCGTCGCCAGGCTGTGCGGTGGTCTCGTCGACCGGTGCGCCGGCATCATCGCCGACCGCTTCAACAAGAAGGCCCTTCTGAACCTTGAGAGCCGTAACCAAAGAATGGTGAATCTCTCCTGCCAACTCCAGGCCTTCAACAGCTTGATCAAGGACTTCGCCCATCAACTCCCCCTCTTCGCGAAGGTCTCCGCTAATTGCTTGAAGCTGGCCAACTTCGTGAACAATCAGTCTCAAGTTAGAAGCATCTTTCTCAAGTACCAGCTCGAGGAACATGGGCACTCCCGCCTTCTGAGGAGCCATTGCAGCACCGGCCTCGCTGTGGTGGAGGATGTCACGGAGTTTGCTCGTCCGATCCAGATGGCTGTCCTCGACGAGGACTACAAGGTTGTCTGTCTCGAGGAGCCATCTGCGAGAGAAATGGCGGAGCTGATTCAAGATGGTGGATTTTGGACTGAGCTGGAGGCAGTTCATTCGTTGGTTAGCTTGGTTAAGGCCATGGCTCGAGACATAGAGATGGAGAGGCCATTGATTGGGCAATGCCTGCCGCTGTGGGATGAGCTGCGGTCGAAGCTCGGAGACTGGAGGACCAAGTATGGCATCGACGGTGGGCTCGTCGACAACGTGATCGATCAAAGGTTCAAGAAGAACTACCACCCGGCATGGTCGGCAGCATTCGTGCTGGATCCGCTTTTCTTGATCAAGGACACCAGCGGGAAGTACCTCCCACCTTTCAAGTGCTTGTCGCCGGAGCAGGACAAGGATGTGGACAAGCTAATCATGCGATTGGTGTCGCCGGAAGAAGCCCATGTCGCGCTGATGGAGCTGATGAAATGGAGGTCGGAGGGATTGGATCCGCTCTACGCGCAGGCCGTGCAGGTAAAACAGCATGACCCATCGACCGGGAAGATGAGGAATGCCAACCCACAGAGTCGCAGGCTGGTGTGGGAGACATGTTTGACTGAATTCAAATGCCTTCAGAAAGTGGCTGTGAGGCTCATTTTCCTTCACGCCACTTCCGGTGAACTCAAGCACAACTCAACATTGATCCGGTGGATGTGTACGCATGCACAATCAAGAGCTGCACAGAAGATGGCTTTTCTCACCGTGCACTCAAAGATCGGAAGGAGGGATTTCTTGAGCGACGAGGAGAAGGATGCAGAACTCTTTAACATGGCCGAAAACGATGATGCCTCTGCAGCGTAACATCTCTCTTCTGGAATAATTTTTCTCTCTTTTTTTTTTTGTTTATGTTGCTGAGTGTAGATTAGGATTGTAGGAATGTTGATTCTTTGCTTGAATTCTCTAGCCCTTACCTGTTCTTCTAACACTTGCTCATTAGTTTGCTTGGGGTGGAGTAAGGGCACAAAGATCTATTAAATATTTATTCAGGGGAGTATAATCTTCCAAGCTGATGAGTTTGCAGAAGGAAAGGTCTCTTGTGTTTGTTAGACAGAGATGTTTATAAATAGAAAGAGGGAGAATGAAGTAAAGTTTTGGTACTGATTATATTTTGGCACTTGATTCATTTTGTGTTACTTTTTGAAGTTGGAATTTCATAGTTCAATGTAGCAATTCTATGATTCATGTCATATAATGTTCTTTAGTCAGGTGCAAAGAAATAAATTCATAGGGAATGTGATCATTCCTAAGCCTGTTGTCCACAAGTATTTTTCTGTGATGTTGTCTATACTCCAATTCTATCATTTAATGGAGCCTCCAGTGCTATGTTCAAAGTATAATAGTAGTAAGAATTGTTGCTACCTGCTGTGAAAGTTAATTTAGTTATCTGTTTCAATCTTCTGGATTCCCTTTGTTCATCATGATGATCTATTAATCAAGAGTGAGACTTTATTCTACTCCTACTGTGATGGGATGCAATCAGTGGTGTCACAAATGATCATGTTGTGCAATTGAAGAAAAAAAGAAACTAGTATTCAATAGCATGTCTACTATCAAATGTTGGAGTGGCAATGACAGTTTACCTTCTCAAACAATTTTAAATGAGTTATCTGAAGCTGATATCTATGTCAATTGGAGCTTACAAAACTTAGCAATCAGATCACACATTGTTGCACCTCATACATGTTTCTCATTAAATTTCTAATTGACAACAAGCATGACACTGATCTCCCAAACCAGATGCATCCAATTCTGTGTGACATCACAGATTTGGTTTGCTTTTCTTCCCCACACCCCCCTCCCCCCTCCCCCCTATTGGAATCTCTTCTAACATCACATGACTGACTTCTCTCTAACACAAAGAATCAAATCATTGATCTCCCACTGAGCTCATTGCTGTTTTCCATGTCCAATTTGAGAATATTACAAGGTGAATTATAGCACATGATGTAGTTAGCTGTAGTGCTGAAGTTGCCTCAAAACCATGTCCATCCACCCCTTGTATGGCTTTATTCCTGTCTTTGTTGCTGAACTATTCTCTGGAATCAGCTCTTGTTTGCAAGTACAGTGTAGCCTAAAAGAGTAAAAATCTATATGGTTTGGCATTATTTTGATGCTTAACCATGTAATTAATCAATCTGTAATATGGCCATTTCATGCATGGATCCAACGCCTAGTATCACCCATCAACTGTGGATTTATATGTGCTAGGAAGCATTATAAAAACTGGATTGTTGAACCCAAAAAAAAAAAAAAAAAGAATTTGATCGTTGACCGGATCAATTCACTTACTAAATTAATTTTATTTAAAAATTAAAATAAAATAAATTTTTATTATTTATTCTCGATTTTTTTTCATTCGATAGTTTTATCTTCGTCCTCTCATCTCCTCTATCGTTAGTGAGATCTTTATTCGATTCGTTATTTTTTATCTGATCATTCTTCTTCGTTTGATTATCTTCTACGTTCGACATCCATTATTGTTATATGTTATTGATAGAGTTTGAGTGATGATAGCTATTTTGGATGAATAATATTTTTCATGTTGTTGTTGTACATTTATTTTATTAGACTAATATAATTACTTATTAAATATTATCATGTGTTATTTAATCTTTAAGAAAACTATATTTTGATAATGTTGGTTGATATTATTTCTTTTATCTTTGTTTTCTTCATTTATGTTAAAAGTCATTCAATTAATTAAACTAATTTTATTTTTAAAATTTAAAAATATTTTTTAATAAAAAAATGTGGTCCAACTAGTTGACCCATGGGTCTAAAATGACCCCAAGTTTATTATTATTATTATTATTATTATTATTATTATTATTATTATTATTATTATTATTATTATTATTTGTTAGATTCCGATAACTATGGTAGAGAATATTTTAATTACTAAATGTAAGCTGTATTTGAGAAGGATGAATCTATTGATTCTCTCTAAATTGATTGGATTGTAGATATGATGATTTACTTAGTGTCTGATTTATAATTATGAATTTTACTATACATATGTTAGTTTACTTGAATTTGTATAAAGAGGCCTTAAATTTAAGAAGAGCCTTTTTTTTAATCTTTAAAATTAATCAAAACTTTTCCTTTTTTTTTCTTTCTCAAAAAAAAAAAGAAAAGAAAATCTATCCATCTTTTCCTTATCAGCTACTTTTTCTTCTCTATCTTCATCGTTCTATTTCTCTACCTTTCTCACTTGACTCCTTCCAACCCTCCCTCTACTTCAAATTTTTTTTTTGGCTATGAAAGTAGTAAATAAATGGATAAATTCTCCCTCGGTATCATTGCCATCATATCCTTCATCATCTCCAATTTTTTTTCTCCCTTATTATTTTCTCCTCTAGTCTTGTCTCCAATCTCTTATTCTTTCTTGACTCGAAACAATTCATGGATTTACCCAATAACAAAAAGGTTCTCATGAGGATTGTGATTGTGATGATGACAAAAATGTAGCTATGACATTAGTAAATAAGTGGACAAATTCAGTAAAAGCTTGTGATAATAATCGATGATATTAGCGTACACTTATACATCATCAAAATTAATTTACGTAACTTTCGCACCAATATTAATTTTAAATATATTATACATTGATACTTTATTTAACCTGCGATTCTTCAACTACTTTCATGTTCTAATACATAAAAGATTAACTAAAAAAAAAAACCCTTAGATATACATATATACATCTGATGTACGAATTGTACGAGTAATGGATGAAATTGATATTATATTTGGGCATAATAAATAGGCTAACAATTTTTTGCCAAAATTATACTAGAAAATTTAAAGTCAATAAAAAGCAAAAATACAGTGAATTTGCAATAGTTACACTATGTTCACAAAATAATATGGTGGATTTCAAATTAATGTAATGATTTGTTTTCCACTTACTATAATTCGATTAGTTTTAATTTCATGTATACAAAAACACCTGAGTTTTAAAAAAAAATCCTCTAGTTTTGATTTATCTATAAATATCTGAACAAATAATGCAATATCTATTTTGATACTAATTTTATAAATAAAAAATATTTTTTTTCTTTACACTGAATTTGCACCAAAAATGGCAAGCTTAAGTTTAATTTTCATCAGTTCATTATTTGTTTAAGATAAATCATATTGACACCCCTTTTGTTCCAAAATGACAATAATTTTGGTCAACAAAATAAGAACAAAGTGATAGATATGGTTTTTCTTCTATGAATTGCACTAGTTTTCCACTAATCTTCAATCTAAAATCTCTTCCACTTGTGATCTCTACCATAATGTTGACTTGAGACACACATGAAAAATAAAAAGACAGTAATTGAATTCACAATACAGTTAGTAAATTCATATTTACATATATTGAGCAAGAATTAATGGATATCAAAGATGTCAAGCAGAAATACGAAGATGGATCACCTTCGTTCATATGGGCACTGTTTGGAAAACGACAAAAGCAGGAGCATGTTCTGATAAAGAAAGGAAAAAGGAAAAGGGCTTCTTCTATCACCAATGATTGTCTCCATGAAAAGAGCTCCATTGACTTTGGGTGTATCAGCTGCAAGACAGCCTGAAGCTTCCGCTGCACAGTGATATCAATATCAATCATGCATTAGGCTTCTAATCATTCAACAACGAGTGATGACAAGCTCACCGAGAGGGCAATTGCTGTGCTTTTCCCCGCCAACGGTATCATTCAGCGAACAATGAGGAAACGCAGCTAGCACGGGATCCTTTTGTCGAGGCACCTCGTCGTCTTCCTCGAGGCCTACCACAGTGGCAGCAGCTCGTTGCAGTCCTCGGAAAAAGCTGAGAAAGGACCTCTCTTTCGCGTCATCTTTGTGCAACTTTTTGTCTGATGAATGATTCCATCATGTTTTGCTCGACGTTAAGCATAGCCTTTCTGTCTAAGCTTCCTTGACGAAGCATAAGAGTGGTTCGCATCCCATGTCGACAAGGCAAGCAAGAGCCAAAGATTTGGTCCTTTCAAATTGGCTCTTCAAAATACATCAATATCCTATACAGTATTTAACCTTTTACTGATCTTTTTTATACTCTTTAAATGACTTTAATTTCAGCAAGTCTCGGCCTTATTTTTCTTACAAATACGTATAATTATCTCAAATAATTATCTTTTTTTTTCTCCTTCTTTTCCATTTTATCATCGTACTATTTCATATATATGTTAACTCAATTCTCTTCAACATAAAAAAGCTTACCATCTTTATCCAACTCCATATTCAAATAATGTAATCGCCGAGGAGAATAAAACATCATCTTGTTGAAAGTTGAATTAGATGAATCCTAGTCAACGTGGGCAAGAATATCATTCATGAAATCAAACACCAATGGTAATCTAAAAATTTAGGCTATTAAATTGTAAATAATATATGGAATACCTGAATATATATATATATATATATATATATATATATATTAAAATTTAATCTTTAAATAATAGTTATTTTTCATTTTATTTAAATTAAAATAGTACCAATATTAATGGCTATCTTTAAATTAAAATTAAATTAGGTCACATTATTTACGGTCCTTCCAATATCTAATACGGAATAAATTTATTGGAATCATGACTGTCTCGAAGCTTAGCGAGTTAAACCCAATGCACTCCATTCAATATAATCCAATTCCAATATCCATGTCCTGTGGTCAGATCACTTTATGGTGTATTTTATACGATGGTAGCACTATATTTTGGAACGACAAGTTCGGACCAAAATGATGTATCTTATGTGAGACAACGTTTACTGATGGAATCTTTCTCCAACACAAGACACATATAAACATGTATCGATAAAGAATGGTAGTGCAGGAATAATATTTTTCATCTGGGAATCAATGCTCGTTGATTACATATTACTAAAAGAGTACTATTGATATTATTATAAGATTATCACACAATGCATTAAAATAAAATAATAAGGGTCACTCACCTCTTAATGGACTTGCTTGAGAGAGAAGGCTGAGTTTGATATGAAGTGGGCCTAATATGTTATATATGAAGAAAGGGTCTTGGTCGTCTATTTGGATTTATTTTCATATGACAAGGATCAAAATCCACTTCCATGGTTCAAAGTCTTCTTGTCTATGTTGCAATGTCCTAAGAATAAGGACAATAATAATTCTCCCTTCTCTGACCTAAGCTATATTGTCTCTTTTAACTCTTCGAACCCTACAAATGGCAGCTTCATTATTC